GTTTTCAGGTACCTAAATTAGAGACTTTATTTCAGGAGGTATTATTCACAGTTTAACTGTAATGCAAAGTGCAGCTACTCAGTGCAGTTATTCTGACTGCTCTAAAACTGTGCTCAGATGAAGAGTCACTTGCCTAAGTGGGAAATCAGAGTTCGTTTTTCACCTCTCTATTTCAGTTACTTTATATCAGTCAGTCAGTCACCCCTGGTTCTGCAAACACGAAAATGCTAAGCCTTTTTGAAAAAATGTGTATCACATAATGTGTTCTTTGAGGGTTTGAGCCTGTGCCCGTTGAGGTCAATGACAAAGCTTCTATTGACTTCTGGGATACAGAATCAGGCCCTGAGGCTCAAAGAATTGGTGCATTGTTAATCCCTTGGTGCTTGCAGGCAAAAGGACTTGTAAATGCATAACCCACTGCCAATAAATGGATGTCAAGCAGTCAGCATTTCTTGCACCCAAAGCATATGCACTTAATATCTGTACAGGTTTTTAGAAGACTAAATGGAGTACAGTCTTTCTCTAGGCTCCCAGAGATAACTTTTCTACCGTTGCATTAAAGCACCATTAATTAGGAACCCAAAATTTTGCTGTATTAATCAAACCAAACACAAATCTAGCATATTTTTGTATGGAAGAGAGGTATAGTCTGCTTGTTTTATTATCTCCTCTGTCATTGATCCTGTACAGTACATTTTACAGGGTAAAGTTTTGAAACGATTAACTGCCCTGTTCCCCCATAGTACTTCACACATTCGATCGATTTCTAGTCATTTCACTCAGCCCTGACCTTGTTGTGTTACAGTCACTTCTATAGCTCCAAATCCAGTTAATCTGTGCTTAGTGTCTGAATCTATAGCTGAACAACCAAAAATATTTAAATATTACCTACCCTTTGCTTCTGTCTATATTCTTTTTGCTTTCCTACATTGTTATGGTATGATTTCAGTACTTAGCATACAAACTGTAGAGACAGATCCTGAGCTCTGTGATCCTTTCTTCAGCAAAAAAAATCTACTGCTGTTTTCACAAAGCTGCTGTGAAGTATTTATTTCTGGGTCAGTTGGAAGCATTCAACATTTTGAATGAGAAATATATTTCCTGTTGTGGGCAATGTACACATATATGTACTCATGGGCTTTTCAGATGTTGTAATTATGGCCTAATCAAAATAAAATTAGGATAGTATTTCCTCCTTCTTTTTGCATGTCATCTAATGGCTTGGAATCCCGTCTGATATTCACTGATGTCAAAGATGGTATCTTATTCACCGTGCATGGGACCAGAACTTTATCTCAAGCTTACATTTTTATATTTCTAGACTTAATCAATCAGATCTAGCCTGATGACCTTGAGGCACTCTGTGAACTTTGAAAAATGCTGTTGCTACTAAGAGATGCCATTCAGCTTCCCGTTGGCTTGAGTAGTCTAAGTAGTCTTGTATGTTCCAAAACCTCACTAATTCAGCAAAAGCCTTTTGATGGTCACCAACTAAATTCAGAGAGTAGATCTTCCCCAATGAACCAATTTTGGAAACGTTAGTTATGTTTTGTCATCAAAAATGAGTGTTGCTGACGGATGTGAGAAGTGCTGTCAGCTGATCTTTGTGGTTTTAGCTTACAGCTACAGTTCTCAGAAAATTATTTTCATGTATCTATTTTAGAAGATCACTATCAGCTTATTTGAAATGTATCATAATCAAGGCATGTGTGAATGGAAAGTTATGGGGACTCTGCTATTTGGCCAAATGACTATTTGCAAATACAAAAACTACAGGAATAATCTCTTGTGAAAAAACTGGTATGTATATTGCACACTGAACATATGCAGAAATTAGCTGACTTTCGGTTCATTATTGTGCAAAGTACAGAAAATGCATTCACTGGGAACAAGTGAAACAGCTGGATTCTGGTCTTGTTTTAAATACAAATTTCAGCACTTACTAAGTTCCCAATGTCATCTCCAATGTGAAATAGCTCTTTTAGCTTGAGTAAAGCTCATACTGCAGTCAAGGGGGCTGTGGCCTGAGCTAAAACAGCAGAATGTATCTGGAGTACATGATCACATGTTTCTGTGCTTATGTGGAGACATCCATCATGGCCTGGTGTTTATTTGGGTTTGACAGTAGGTCTGCAGGGGTATTTCTCAGGCTGCTAATTGTCACCGACTGGAGTTTCTTTAAGTATTGACCCATGGACTGTTCTAAAACAATTTCTGCCTTTTCTGAATTAGTTTTGGTCTCTGAATTACAGTGTCATCCCCAAGCCTCTTTTCCTAGTTAGACAGGGTCCTCTCCTCAGAAACTGTATGTGAACTGCCCTGTTCATCAACATCACTGGGCTGATAATTATTTGTACACAGATGTGCCACTGACTGCTGACTGAACAGGAGCTGAGACAACTCCTGGCACTCTGAGCCATATTTTACAGGTAGACATTGTATCTACAACAGTGCAGCCTGCTGAGGTGACATCTTTCAGCATTCCTCTGCAAAAAGAGACAGAGCATGTGGAACGAACGGTCAAATGCTGAGCATAGGTGTATAAAATGGCAGGTAGCTTCTAGCAAAAGCCAAGTGGGAGATAAATGATTTGGAAACTACAGGGCCCAGAAGATGCAAATCTTGAAAAACTGTAGTCACTATAGTCCAGTTCATACACAATTAGAATAATGCCCTGTCTCCTCCTTGCTTACTGCAGATATTTGCTTCTCATGCTCTCAATACATTAGTAAGTCAGTCCATAAAAGAGAATATTTATCCTCCAAATTGAATCCCTACTCTAATCAGATGTATACAGAAACACATGACTTCATATGTGCCTTAAAGCCTAACTCCTCACTGAAAACTTTCGGAGTGCTGATCTACTTAGAAGTTGAATTCAGCTCCGATGGCAAAGTGAGGTTCAAAGTTCATGTATATTTAAGCAGAAGGGATTGTGTGATGCTGGTGCAATGGGGTGGCCCTAAAGCTATGAATAAGCTTGCAGTGAAAACATACCCTTTGGTGCTGCTGTCATTGGATTTCACCTTTGACAGCAGAATGTTTCCCTAAAGAATAACAGAAACAAATGCTTTCCAAAAGATTTCCAGCATGTCGCTTTTCATATATACTTAATACTTCAAAACCTTATAACAGCACTCCAGAAATTTACAGCACCAAGGGGCCCTATTTAACAACGCCTTTTCATTAATCTGCTTTTTTTTTTTCCTTCAACTGCATAATTACTTTAGAAATAAGGAAAACAACTATGTGTTCATGGTCCATTTTAATAGGCCTCAATACTTTGCTAAAGCACTGCAGTGGATCAGTTGGAGTTAATTATTATATAAGATTACATTGCAAATAACAACAATATGTCAAAGTAATGTGTAAGGTCTGCCTTGCAACACAAAAGTGAGACATTTCAAAGTTAAGTCTAAAATTATGTGTTTGCATTTCCTCCTTAACTTGCTACATCACACTTAATGTGTTACAGCCCCAAAGAAACCTTGTGTAAGACTGGCTACTTCTTAGCTAAACCTTCTCATAACTACCTACAGCTGACAATCCTAAATTGTCTTGTTTTTTGGGATTTAATTACCTGGTTAATCATTGTGAAGGTAATTGTGGAGTCGGTTGCTGCTCCATCAGTGTCATAACCCAGGTAAATGAGGCAGAGCTACTGCTTCTGAAAAGGAGAGATTTTTATGTAGACAGGTTTCAAGGGAGAACTGTAACATGACCTCTCTGCCACCTTTTTCTTCAAAAAAAAGAAAAAGAAAAAACCTCCATGTTATTTTATTTTATATTTTCCAATGTCTGATGAACAAATATTTTATGAAATATTTTAAACATAAACATTCTAGTCCTGCCTTTCCTGTTGTTCTCTAGCCTCCCTTGTACCTCAACACTATGGATATGTAGGAACAAAATAGGCGATTAGCTTTATTCAAAGACCATTCAAGTCAACAGAATGGTGCTTAATGAATGTAATGGTTTTTAGATTAAACTCATGGTTACTGCATCCCAAGTACCAAGGAAATAGCATCTGACTCATGGAAAGGAAGGACTTGGCTTGATTTGCATTCACTGTTTTGTATTTGCTAAGAGACATAAATTATTATCTGAGATTGAGCATCCGTTATGGTGTTGATGTTCTAAATAGTTCTCTGTAGCACCAGAGGGGTCTCTGGTAGCAAAGGGAACAATCACATTTGATATCCATAATATTTAGAATGCAATATAACAGATCAAGTAATAATCTGAAGTAAGAAAAATTACAGTGCTTCTTTTTGTCGTTTAATTTTGCACTCTTGAAACATGATTCTTCATGGGGTACATGTGCAAGCAAGCTAAACAGTAAAAACAAATGGTAAGCTCAAGATTATAGGACCTTTTTTAAATGAAAGGAATTTTCTGACAAAACTGTAGTCTCAAAGGAGTTAAATCCACTACTCAGATCACTCACTGGTGTGCAGGCCTTGATCAGAATCTTTGGGCCATGCAAAATATAATCCCTGCATTTACATTGCAGAGAAGTCAAACAGGGTCCATTTATACCACTCCACAGAACTTATTTCATTCATCTAAGGTACTCTACCTTGGATGAGGATTTGATGCAGTTTTTGAAAAGCAACACTAAGAACTGTGGGACTGTGAACACCAAGTAGATGGGTGCCCCTTCCTGGACTTTGTCTGAGGCACTTAAGCTGTGAAATCTGCTTTCAAACTTATTGAAAGTAATGCTTGTATAAACAACACAGCTTACCAAAAGCAGGATGCTTTAGCAACATCGTGGCTTAGACAAAGTTCCTAGAAATAGATGTTCAGTGATAGCAGTGATCTTACCTTCAAGTTAGTGCTTGAGTGCTTAGCTATTATTCAGTGTTCATGAGGACCCAGGAGAACTCCAAAGAGGATTCCAGCAGTTCACATGTTCAAGAGCAGTTTCAGGATAAGCTGATACTTAAACAACATTTAACAGATGCTAAAAAATAAATATCTCTTTTCCTGTAAATCAGGTCTGTGAACTCCTGGGACACATGGGCTGCTTTCGAAGAGTCTGCAAAAGGTAATTAAGAAGAGTAACCTATTGTCAGTCAACTTCAGTTTGCTGTATAAGGACCACTGCAGATCTATTGGAAAATGCTTAGGACTCTTCAAACTGATATAAGGTAAGAATTGCTATTATAAAACCCTTCTGCAATTGTGGGTTTTTTTCACTTCTTATGCCTTCTGTTGTGCCGAAAGAGCAATCAGTCAGTCAGTTTTATACTGTAATTACCAAGGTCCAGCACAATTGCTACAAGGTGCGACTTATAAAAGCAAACAACTTTTAATCAGGAATGGAAGTTTCATAAAGCATGAGAACACTTCTGTTAACAATAGCTATATTGTTAATATCATGTCTTTTCAAACAAGCCACTGGCTTTCTGAAGGATTTGCTTGTCTCCCGAACGCTGCAGATTATCAGAACCATGTTTCGTTATTCACATCAACCTAAGGGTGCAACTGTAGCCATCTTTCTACTCTCAGTTATCTCACTGAAATCAATGAAACAAATCACGTTGGGTGATTTTCTCTATTGCCTTCTCAGATTCTGGGCTGTTTTCTAAGGAAATGCTTTTTTTCCATACAAGTTGCATAGGAGGATCTTTTCACATTCAAGGTCATATTTCTTGGGCAGTGACAAAGCAAGGGAGAGACCAGCACTCCACAAACACTATATTCCCCAGGACTAAAGGAGACAGATTAAAGTTTATTTTCTGTCTAATTTCCTTCCCATATTAACTAATGCCTTATTTATATGAATTGAATGAGTTCTAAAAAAAAGAGTAGATTCCATACCCTAGTGCTGCAAAGGCTCACTCCAGAAGTAGAACAGATTCTTTGAAATTAGAAGAAAACTGAATGTCAGCTCTGAAACTTTACCAGACTGCTGGCTTAAAGGGAAGGTAGAAACTGATCAAGTGAAAAAGAACAAATCTGAAATCCATAAAGCTTTAGTGAAAAATGCAAATTCTTTTTGTCTAATCGTTCATTTCTAAGAATCTATGTGTTGTTTTCCAAAGATGTTATTGTTAGAAGGCACTACTGCAGATTTGAACTGAGATGAGGTGAGCTATGATAACATACAAATGCACACTGTAAGGAAAATAGATTTTTGATTGGCAAACAATTATCTGAAGCAATGATTTGCTACTTAGAGCTAAACTAGATTGTCTTTAAGAAGAGTATATTTTAGTAACTATATACAAAAATTAAATATTCAGTGGTCAGATCTTTCACAACTGAAATGGGTATGAACTGGATATAACTCCTACAATTGCTCGAAAACTGTATTCATAGGTATAAAATAAAAAGAGAGAGAGGATTCACTTTATTAACAGTATATAGGGGATACCATTCCATTTTTATTTGATTTACTGCTTCCTGATGCAATAAATACAGATGAGCACAGCAAAAGTACAGGTTTAAGTAAGAATTGCAGGGTTGTGTTATGCCAGCAGTGCCTAGTGTACAGTTAATCGGAAAGCAGAAGGTAATATAAATTGTTTCTGACATTATGGGACTATAATAACACTACATTTCCACCAGCTCCATAGCTCTTAGAATTAGAAGTATGTATCCTGAAGATACCACAAGCCCAAGAAATACGAAGACATTTGTACGTACTGACTGTTTCCACGTTTGTGTCTTTGCTGTGCAATTGTAACAGATACAGGTTATTACCGTAACAGTCCGTGCTCAGTTCTGATAAAAGTTGCTGGATGAATTTGCTTCTGCTACCTGAAGTTGAATTAGACTCCAGTAATGGAGTAATGACGATTATTTATGAACAAGTTCCCTCTTTGTCCCTGTTCCTATACAAATCTTAATCATCATTCCATGTACTAAAACATATTCTTACGTACCAGACCCTATTATTCTGCTGGGATGTAGAGGGTACAGTCCTGGCTCTGATGGTATGGGTAATAAACCTACCGTACATCTCCATAGTTCCAGGATTTTGCTTGTTAACTGTTCTTAGAAAAAAATTAATTGTAACAAATCAATGATTCAAGTAGTCTCCTAACCTGTCTCTAGAACGAACCAGAAAAAAAACCCCTTTTGCAGAGCTTTAGACACACTGTAAACTCTCATCATGCAAAAGGGAATAGGTTCTCTCTTGACGCAACCAGGAACAACTTTTTGCCATGAATTCTGAATATTAATCCCTGCAGCTTTTTACTAGTTAGTCTAATGCATTTACTCTGCCAATTCACGTAAAATTTGACACTTTTAAAAACAATTATTTTTGCCAAGAATACTGTGTAGAAGACAGCTTTATAGATTAGCTATAAACTGCTCAGCAGAATATTTGTTAAACTGTCTCTCATCTGCAGCTTTTTAATTTCACTTTATGTCTCTGTTATTGCATGGCAATGAAAGGTAAACAGGAGAGCTCCGACAGTTTGTTCTATGGCCACTCATAATATAATCAAATCTTAACTACACGTCCTTTTGACCTGTTTTCCAAAATGTATGAAGCTGTAATGTCTGTATTAATTTTCCCTCTTTTGACACTGTACTTTCCCCTTGACTCCTTCTATCTGTAGTTTCATCTTGTCCCTCAATCCCTTTTCATCTTTGCTTCTGTCTCTCTCCACTATCACTCTGTTAACTTTCTATTGTAGAATCAATCAGTTTAGCTAATCAAAATTCTGACATTAACATAAAGTTCAGTGACTTGTGTATCCTTTGTTTATAGAAATACCCAGTTTAAAACCAGCAAAAAAAAAAAAGCCATAAGATACATAAAACATTTGTTGGCAATTGTGGCCTCATTTGGTTCATACTAGATGAAATACCATGATTTCTAAAAACTTGCTGCCTGAGCACCTCTCTTACAATTAGAGAAAGGAATGACTAAAGTTATAAAGTCAGTTTAGTGCAGTTAAGGCAAAGCTTCAGGCACAGAATCCTGCTGTAGATTCTGCTATGACTTTATGCCAACACTATGGGTTTGAGCCTAGTGACATCAGAAAGCACAATGAGAACGCTGTGTCCCAAATTCCACTGCATTTTTCTAATCTACTATTAGACATTACAATGAGAACACATTAGCTAATTATAAATCATTACCTTCTCCTGATCAGGTGGATAGTACACAGAATCCCCAGTGTCTTAGAACAGTAAAGATCATCTAAACGTGAAGCTTGATTATCCTGCAAAATCTTGGTTGTATTTAGTAAGGGAAGGTTTGGGAAAGCATCTGGTATGACCTCGGTTACCATGGAACTCATTAATTTGAGTCACTGAGCATCCCTGGCAAAGTATATAAACTATTTACATATCACTAATATCCACACAAAGCCAAGTAATCTCCTACCATTTTGTCCCAGAACACACCAGATTCACTGTAAGAAAGATGACCTGTGATGGGGTCTCTTTGGATTTCTCCAAAATCCATATGGAATGGTTGCTGTACCGTTTGTATCAGCAAAGAGTGCCATGAAACTGACTGCATAAGCAAACAAGCAAAGTGTGTATTGAAAATGCTAATAATAACAATAACAACACACAAGGGGCTTCAGGATGAAAAATGTGTGTGATAATGCAAATTCATTTGTCTCTTAGCACAGATGTATTTTGGATTATTACAAGACTGTCCATTTGGAGATTAGGCTTTGAAGCACCATTTTATTGGAGACAAGGTACCCACCCTATTGGCAGTGTGTGAAACCGAGACTGACACATGCCACATTCATTTAGGACTATTTTATCTCTTCTCTTGTTCTAACATCTATAATGTTAAACATAATTTCTTTCATATTTTTTTCAGTGCACCATCAGCTGTCAGTGTGGCAGGTGGCAGTCAGCCTGGAATACTCAGCTGCAGGGATGGAGAGAAGAACTTTGTGAGAGCAAGTGAACAGGAAAGAAGTAGGGCCGCTAGCAAAGGACATCAAAAAAAAAAGAAAAAAGAGGACAGCAGGACTTTGTGGACAATGCATTAGAAATAGGCTGGCAGTGTGTAGAATAAAGAAAAGTAGTTTGGAACCAGAAATTATTTGGTTACAGGAATGTGCTTTTGACAACTATCTTGAATGTCTAAACTTCCTGTGCCTGTCTGTAGCTTTCAGATCTGCTGTCCTCAGCAAAGGACATTTGGGAGCAGAGTGCTCTTCAGTGAAGCTGGGATGCTGCTCAGGATCTTAATTCTGGGTTTGAAACTTTCTGGTTAGGTGAGCTGGGCTGGTTGCTTTCCCTGATTTTTAAGTTTTTACATCTGTAGGGGAAGAACATAATCATGCTTCATGGAGATGTTTACAGGAATTTGTAATATGCATAGAGTGCTTTGAACTTGAGGAGTTCTGTGGATGTAATGATGGACCTTAATCCACCTGTCCATACAGATAACCATTTCTTTAAAAGAGATAAAGTGACACCTGCCATCTCAATCTAAACAGGGAACGTTACCATCCACCCCATAGCCTGATCCCTACCCCTGCCTGAAGTGGAACAGACTCCATCTTCTGGGTGTGATTCTCATAAAGGAACACAACAGGTAGCAACCAGTGCATGCACCTCAGGGTAAGTAGGTGTCACACATATGTCACTGAAAGCATATGTTAATGCTCCTGCATCATGCCTGTGATGCCCTGCTCTTCACCTGTGCTTTCAGCTTCCCTCAAGGGTAGTGGTTTGAATCTCTGGTGTTGTTCATTAGCATATGTGCAGTAACCTGCCACAATCTTACATCTTGACTACTTACATGACACTAGAGCCAGTGGCACTGTCTGATTATTTTGCAAACGCAAAGCCAACTGCATTTAATATTGTCCCTAAAAGAACTGAACATAGACCCAAATAGTGCCAGAGTCTAAGATTAAGATTAAAAGAAGAAAGCAGACAAACATCAAGGTGAAGCTACCTGCTGAAATCAGAGGAAAAACATTAAGGGAAGAACAGTCTTTGCTGGGCCTATGAGATGGACTACTTGACCTAATATCTCTCTTCTCTCTCCATTTCATATAGTTTTATGAGCCCCAAAGCAGCAGAAAGAAAAGAGCTGCAGGATCCATACAGTGAGGTTTCAAGGAGATGGGTACAAGACTAACCCCTCCGAGAACCCAGTTTCAAGCAGAGGCGTAACAGTTCCCTGTGGATGCGCAGACCAGGTGGGTCAGAATTGGTGCTCCAGGTAGAAGGGATGTCCGGCACACACCTGGCTGCTCTCCATCAGGTTGTCCATTCTGTGCTCTGTGCTGGGGCAACTCAGACATGTCCTGTCTTTCTACAGCATAAGGAATGAAACCGGGAGATTTTGTTGGAGTTCCTTCCTTTATAGCTGGTTGGGAAGGATCTAATATTCCCTAGTGTGGGATTAAACTATTCCTTGCCTTTCTTCACTTCATGGCACAGTGGGCGGATGATGCCTCCGTGCCGAGGCGCTGGCACTGGAGGAGGGATGAGGAGGGAAGAGGAGGGATGGGGAGCACTCGGGTGCAGGGCAGGCAGTCCCTCCGGGAGAGTGCTCGTGCATCCCTTGCTGTGGTCCTTTCCACCTTTCCAGCCCTCTCTCCCGGCGCAGCCCGTGCGCTCCCGGCTCTCCCCTCCGGCGGGGCCCAGCGCCGCCCGCCTGCCCCGGCCCTCACCGGGCCTCTCGCCCCCGGCCCCGAAGCGCCTCCGCCGCCTCTGGGCCCGTGGTCCTGGGGCACCCGCACTGCCCGCTGGGCCGGACCAGGACCCGACTGCCTTCTCATCCTCACCCGCCTGGCCTCTCTTGCCGGCCCCGGCTCTGCTCGGCTCCCGCCCCTCCTTCCCTTGCTCGCTCCCTCCCCCGCCCGCCCACAGGCGCACGCACCTCACCCGCACTCACACACACACACAGACACACACACACACACCGAGGCGATGCAGCTTTAAAGGGGCAGCTGCAGCCCGGGGGCCGCCCCACGTGAGGCCGGTGCGCTCCCGCCTAACGCAGCCCCGAGCGCGGAGCCGCGGCCGGGAGACGGCGGCGCCGGGGCTGGGCGGGCGGGCCGAGCGGAGCGGAGCGGAGCGGCTGCCAGCCCGCCTCACGCCAAGTTTGATCGATAACCCCCTCCCGGCCCGGGCGGAGCAGCCTCGCCGGCTCCGCTACCCACCATCTTTGGGGGAAGTCCCTGCGCTGGGGGGGGGCTGCTGGAGACGGGGGGGAGAAAGGCAATCTCGCAGCCAATGAGCCCTGCCAGGCTGGGGTGAAGAAGAGAGCAGAGGGATTTGGGGAAGGAAAGAGGAAAAAAAAAAAAAAAAAAAGAAGAAGGGAAGAAAGGAGGGGGACCATCCTCCCCACCACCTCCGCCAGCATCGCCACCACCATTGACACCGCTCCGAGTCTCCAGTTGCGCCCATGCCTGTGCCGCCAGTTTCGGTTTAGGGGCTGAACCACAGGGGCTGAAGAAAATGGGGCAGAGCGCGCCCCGGACCCTTCTGCTGCTGCTGGCGGGGCTGCTGGGGGAGGCTCTGGCGGGGTTCCCCAACACCATCAGTATAGGTAAGCGCCCGCCGCGGCACCGCGACCCGCGCCTTCCCCGCCAGCCGAGGGGAAGTTGTGCGGAGGGGAGCGGGGGGCGAGCCCGAGTGCCGCCGGGAGGGAGCCAGCCCCGCTCCGGGTCCTTCCCCTCGCTGGGGGCGAGAGACAGCGGCGGTGCCCGGGGCGGCTGCGAGCGGCACCGGGCTCCCGCTCCCCTGCGAGCGGCGGGGATCGGGTCCGCGCTCTGCGGAACCGTGCCCTGGAGCGGCGCATCCCGTGGAGCACATAATGTGAGAGAGTCACGGCGTGAATCTGTAGCGACGTGCCCTAAACCCGGGGCCGAGCGAGCCGTGAGGCTGAGGGCAGCGAGTGAAGCGGGGGCTGTTCCCTGCCGTCCCTCGGAGCATCCTTTGGCTCGGCCGTGCTATCGCTCCACCAGACCGTGAAACCGCACGTTTGCCACGCCGCCGTATCCTCGCACATAACTCTACGGTGGCGATATCTCGGTAGTCTGGAGATGATTTAGGAGCCACGGTCCCCTAAGTTAGACTTTTAAATCTCTGTGTGGGCATCCGTGTGGAAGTGGCCTGGTTTTCAGGATGCACCTGCAGCTCCCAGCGACTCCCATCGCTCGGGGGCACTTGGATGTGATGTGTGGCTTTAAAAGCCTAACTTTGGACTTGGAATATGTAATTCATGTAGGTGCTCTGTCAGAGTTATGTGCTCAGGTTCAGCCTGCTCCTGTTCATTTTTTCCTGCAGTGTGCAGCATGCAAATGTAACTTATTGCCACTGTTTCTCCTCCGAATTCATTCTGAAATACCTTTTCCCTTTTTATCCTTTTTCTTTCCATTCTAGGTGGACTTTTCATGAGGAACACTGTTCAGGAGCACAGTGCATTTCGATTTGCTGTGCAGTTATACAACACAAACCAAAATACCACAGAAAAGCCCTTCCATTTGAACTATCACGTAGATCACTTGGACTCTTCCAACAGTTTTTCAGTGACAAATGCTTGTAAGTAAATACATAGTTTTTAAAAGATATTTATTTGTTATGTATCTTTACATTCAGTTTCTCCCTGGTAACCTGGAGTTCTCAGTCATCCAATACAGTGCAACAAATGTGTGCAGTGACTTGAGGTTTGGTAGATTTGCAGCATTATGTGGTTGAATAGTACCTTAGGAAAAGTTCTCTCACCACTTCTTTTCATCCCTTTAGTTTTGTTTTCCAGAAAAAGAACCATGTTGTTGGTGTATCAGTGCTGTGTAGCTGTGATCAGTGAATTGCCGCTGAAGATCCCTTTTCGGTTGAGGCTAGAACCTGGGTGTGTGAAAAGGCATAATTTGCATACAGTGCCATGTAGGAAAAGATCAGAAACAAGTGTTTAGAAGTGACCTTGAGGGGACAAAGCTAGAGGGGCTGAAATACGAGTTGTTTTCTTACAGTGAAAGTCCTGTGAAAAGCTGAGGAGACTGACTGTAAACTGACAGATACTGTTAGAGCTGAGGGGAGAGAAAATGGGATCAGAACGCTTGGCGTTATGAGAAATAGCTCTGCACAAGCAGTGCATACGTATAATTTGAGCTTTTATTAACAGAAGATGCAAAACAGAACTTTGAGTATTGCTAATGTGGTGTTAAAATGCGAAATCTCTTTTGGAAAGACATGTGCGTGTTCTGCATTTTAAAAAGCATTCCTTTACCAGTAGTGGTTCCTGGATGTTTCTTTTACTGATGCCTCCAAATTCGGTTCTATACAATATTGACTGTGAACCTTTGAAAATGAAAGGAGTCCTCTTGCAAGGTGGTTGATGCACTTTGCAATGTGCAGATTTATGTCTGTACGTGATCCAAAGGACCTTTGACTGCAACGTACTAACTTTGTGTTGAAACAGGTTTCCTCTCACATTATGAAGGTTTATGTTCACAGTATAAAATGTGCAAACAGGAAGCATTGTACTAATATAATGAAGTACTGGAGTACAGAACACATATCTTTTGCTTTAAAACAATTTCATGTTTTGAACATCTTATTTCTTTGTTTATTTGGTTGTTGGGGATAGAATAGTTGTTATATTCCTGGCCCACTGTATATTCTGAGAAAGTTGATGGTTAGAAAATATACAATAAGAAAATATTTGGACAAATTTTGGATTGATATTCTAACATATCCCCCATGTGACTACTTCTTGCTAGTGCAGCAAAGGGCTTTGAATTAGGACCTTTAAAAGTTTTGCAGGGAGGTTAATTATCAGTATTCATTAAAAATATTTGGTAAAGTGAAAAAAATGGTAAATAAAAGCGCGTCTCTACTTTGCATCTTATTTTACTAATCCTATCCAGCCTCAACAGCTCTTACAACAAACATCAGACTATTAATCCTTAATCAGTGTAATCCCTTCAAGAGGCTGTATCTCTAACACACTTTCCTAAATATCAATTATATGGATTTAAACTAAATACATTGAACTGCTTAGGTGATTAATTATTAATTGTTTTTAAAAGTTCTACGAGCACTTCTTTAAAGATCCCACCAAGACAAGTGAACCACACACTTGTTTAGGGGCAGTCAGTATATTTAGTCAGTGTGCTACTCATCTTCTGACATCTAATGATTTTTGTCATTGCTTATTTAAAGCTGTGGTGATTTTAGTAAGGTGAGATTGTTTTCTGTACTATAGAGCTGCATGTTCCAACACCCATATTACCAGTGTAGTAAAACTGGGAAAACTTAAATCTCTGGAGGAACTGTAGACTAGAGAACATGAACCTACAGTAACCTATTTTAAAGTAGAAGATGTGAAAAAAAAGAAACAGAAGAAAGAAAATGAAAAGGTGACCTTGTCCATAGCTATGTCAACCATCTCATGATTCTGTTGTTAGGAAAAGAATATGGTGAGTCCAAGTCACCAGTCATAGGTTTTAAGTAGCTCAAAATATATTAAAAAAAAAATCAGAACAGTTGCTCTTTTGAATCTGGAAGCAATTGTCTTTGAAAGTCAGAATGCTCATGTGTATCAATGCATTGGGATGAACTAAAAGCTTGTCCTACTACCTGGTTAACATTCCAGCCTGAGTACCTTTAATCACATCCTTGCTTGCTAGTGGAGTGGCAGATAATTTCAGGGTGTTACCATATCCATGAAGGAATTCTTTCCACAAGGTTTTTACCTCAGTTGGAGATAAGCATGTATTGTCTCCAGTGATGTCACACAGCCGTTTGATCAATATTTGCAATTGGCAGGGATCCATGGTAGAGCAACCTGCAGTGACTCTGCCTGCCTTCAGTGGAGAGGGAGACTGGGGCTGCCTTTGTGGTGGGATGGGTACAGGAACTGAGGGGAAATTGGAGAAAGTAACATGTGTGGCTTGAGCCTGGTGCCTGTACTGGTCAGTATCTATAATATAATACTTCTCATTCGCTTTGATTTATATGGTAGTGACTGTAGTAGTGTTCATGTGTGCAGGAATTGAGGGGGGCTCTGCTCAGAAAAGACTTATGTTCTTACTGTACAGCTGCACATCCCGCTTGATGCAATCTGGTGCATTCCAGAGGCAAGAGAAAAAAACCTCTTCTGAAGTATTCTCATGAGCCAGAGAAAAAATGCCCACCTCTGGTACGGCTGATTTGGCAATATCCCAACATGGGAAGAAACTTGTTTAGAAGCAGAAGAAAATTCCTGCCCTAAGCCCCTCCCTCTCATTCCTTTTTCAGTTAAATGATGCATAATCTGATTTATGTACATGCATTCCCTGCTTCACTGCTACCACCGAGCCCCTATCTGTATATTTAATTTACACACATTCATACAGTATTCATCCACCCTATTTATCTGCCCACTTATTTATTTAGCTGTATGATATCTTAACAGAGAACAAATGCAAACACAGATGAAAATTCCTGTGTATTTAAAGGTGAATTGAAGTTTATCAGTTGGCTCCTGGGAGATTATTACATCTTTTAAAATATGCAGCTTTTTGCTATCAGAAGAAGCAGAGAGGAAGTTAACTTGATCTGTGAACGTATAAAATCAAAATCATGTTATATTTCCTTTAAAAATGCTCATGTAGGGAGTGAGCTGGCTCTTTTAAAGCAATATTAGTATAACAACTCAAATATATAAATTTGCCACTGAAGCAACATCTTTCATACTCCTCTTATAACCCCCGATGAAGGGTGTTGGTATTGATGTTGAATTGTGTGTATAGTTCTGTAGATTGTATTCCCTGGAAATAACCCGCGTATGTCGTTCTGCTCTGCACTTGTAGTGCACTATACTAACACTGCTCCAGCCTCTGCAGTGTCAGCTCATTAGCACACAGATCTCATATTCCCTCTCTGCACTGTCATTGCAAAAAATTGCTGTTGTACACCTTTACAGCCGACAAATGTGCACTCGCGTTATGTACAATCTTCAAGAGATATTTCGAAAAGTAAACTCAACCCTATACATAGTCTCCATGGGATTTCTCAAAAGAAAGCATTAGTTTTCATTAAAATCTGTTGATCATGTAATGATGGTGGTGGGATGCGTGTGGATGAAAAGGGGCTGTGATTGCAGAATCTAATTAATCTACCAGCAGATTCCATCTCTCAGCTGAACCTAACCTATCAGCTACAAATTCTTGTCCCATTAGTTTTTCTGAGTTTTTTTTAAATATATCTTCTGAACCCAGAAGGCTTTTTGTATTTTACTGAATGTGGATGTGTAGTGGAAATGAGAGCTTTTTCACAAACTCTCAGTCTTCAAGAGATAAATAAAGAGGGAAGATGCAAAGGCATCCTAAGCTTAAGTTGCTAAAATCCTGTAAGTGATTGTGTAGGTCCTTTCTCGAAGGGGTCTGATTTCAGACTTTCTTGGAAAAATATACTTTAGCATCTTTGCTGTCCTTGTGTTTAATCTTTAAAATTCAACTTGGAAGATTTTAATGGGAAAAGTGCCTGTTCACTGTTGTGAGAATGTTGCCGAAAATGATGCCACAGCACTAGTAGCAGCCAGTTTTCCAGTTTGACTGTACTACTCCCCTTCCCAAAGCCCAGGGGTGTGTGTGTAGATGCTCACATGCAGACTCACTCGCACACGGGAACACATGCGCACACACGCTTTCTCCTAAGGTGCTGTTCAGCATTTCTCTTTGCCAGTGGGCAGATAATTTGCTTCCCTTGCATCTGTGTGCTCTTTGGCCAGCTGGCAGAGGACACTGATGCTGCAAGTGGTCAGCTCCCTTCTGCCAAAAGCGTAAGCATGTGTCTCTGAGAGTCCTGCCAAGTCTGGGCCGGGTACTGGTGGTTTTGTGTGAGTAGCGAGCACAGGGTAGATGCTGAACTCTCCTGACATGGAATGCACTCTGGTTTCTGCATCATTCTGTGGTAAAACACCTGGAAATGTGCTTTCTGCACGACTCTACTCATTGCAGATCACTGAGAATGCCTTTTATGTGCTGCAGAAGGTGCTGAAGTATTGTGTGTTACTGCTGTGTGACAAAATCCAGTTTAGGGGTCAGAGCTTTTGCAGTATTGGGCCTAGGTCAAAAGGTGAAAGGTGTTTCCCAATTGAAGTTTGTTTCCACTTCATGCCAGAGCAGATGATTTTTCATTAAGCTGAATGTGATCTCAGTGTTAGGAGAAGGAACCCTGCCACTTTCAACTACAGTTTTGGGTTTTTTTCAATTTTAAAATAAGCTGAGTCTCCTCTCTTTCCTTCTCTGCTGCATACATAACACTGAGGTACTGTTTAGGTGTTAGGGTTCCATTTAACTCACACTGTACAGATGGAAAAAATATGTTGTATGGATGGACACTTGAGAACCTCTGAATTCACCAAATGAATGAACAGTAAAGCATGATGAAGAGTGCCATTTACTCTTCTAGTTTTAGAAAGATTTTGTGCAGATGTAGACATGAAATTGTTCACATTTCCTATATAACGCTGGGCCTGGAGCACCCGTAGGGCTGTTAGGGTGGGATGGAATGCTACTGATTAACTAGACCTTCCAGTAAAATATGTAACAGCT